AAAAAAAAAAAAAAAAAAAAAAAAAAAAAAAAAAGAAGAATACTGCGGAACAAAAAACATAAAACCACTAATTGCGTCCCAACCTGTTTTTGTTTTTCTTTTGTTTCAAATTGTAAGTTTATCTTCCTATTTGGATGTTAACTATTCAAAGCTACACGTAAATATTTTGGTTTGGTTAAAACTGAAGCCTTGATCGACTGGATTATTGATCAAATTAGGTTCAGGCCCCGCCCAATATGTTGAGTTGTTTTCATTCATTTGTATTGTGACTAGTATGTATTGATAATTTTTAAAGTTGTTAATACATTTTGAAGTTGTTAATAACTGTTAATAGAAGTTAACAAATATGAATATTTTGAATATTTTTCATTCGTAAATATATATGGTAAATAGTTAAATATCATTGAATTAAATTTTAAGTCGACAATGTGATATCATAAAATTATATTGGACAGATTAACTTTTCAAGTGTTAAATCTTGAGTTTATTTGATTGTGACGTTTGATTTTTAAATGCATGAGACTTAAATAAACCTTCTCAATAACTAGTGAGGTATTTCGTGATTAGTTTTGTTATCTTCATATCTTCGACACACACATACATCGTCCACAACTAACTCAACATGATACATGAGAAGAAGAGGACTAAATGCGAGTGGTTAGCGAAAGTTAAATATGGCAAAAACTGAGACAAAATATGACTATTCGAACCTATAACACCTGTAAATTTGTTGATAGACAACTTTTTGCACTTGCTGCAATCGGTGCAAGAGACATAACTTTTTACTCGTTCTGCTGGAGGATATTGACAATCACAGCTTTACATGGGAAATCAGTTCATGGGTCTTCACAAACACAGTTGAAGATATATGAGATGGTACAATTAAATTATTTACTATTCACAAAAAAAAATCTCACATAGAAGTAGGTCTCCCAGTTGACGCATCTCTTTCTTCTGAATCTCTCTTAGTCTTACTATCTCCATTTCATAAATAATACCATTTAGACACTTTTCAGACATATTAAAAAAATAATTGAAATGTATTTATGTGTTCATTATATTCAAACAATAATATTTGAGATAAATATAATTATTTATTAAATCAATGCATTACATAATTAACATTAGAATTGTAAAATAACAATTTTTGTAAAAAAATGTTAAAGTGACATTTTTAAGAAACAAATGGAGCATTTATTAGTTGATAGTATTTTAATTATCATAAAGTTAAAATACTTATAATATTTATATTATGGAAGTTCAAATATAAAACCTGAGTAAATCATAAAATTTGACAATTTTTTTTTGTAAATGATTACAATAATAAAATTTCAATCATAAAGTTACAATGATATAATAAGATATATTTTTGTTAATTTAAAGTTAATAAGGTCTACGTTTAATATTTTGAATTTAACTATTATAAATTTTAATTGTTTGTTATAAAAATATAGATACTTTTGTTGTTATCTTGAAATTTTATATTAAAATAAAAACGAGAAAATAATGCAATAATCAATATATATATAAATTTAAATTTTTTGATAAGTAACACTTCCTCCATTTAAATAAAGACGATCACATTTTTTAACAATACATTTTGTATTTTATATATTTTTAATATTGATAAGTTGTTAAATTAATTTTATTAGCTAAGATCTTTGTTTAGAACTATAGAAAATAAATAATAATATAGAGAAAATATTTATAATCAAATTTATTATCTTTTGTTAAAATGGTGAAAATGTTAACATACATTTCTTTTAAAAAAGGAGTATTTGAATGATCATATGTCTTTACTATGCTCTATTTTCAAAGTTTTAGACTAAACTGTTCTTAACAAAATTATAAAAGTGTATTCGTAATGCTAAATTCAGTACACAACACCTACATTTAGGTTAGTTCTATAGTAAAAATCAGGAAAAATGATTGCCAACTACCTGAAGTATCAGCCAATACATGACTAACCATGCAAACTAAATAAATGCATACTCAACTACATGAAATATATGATATGCATAATGAACTTTATGTTGTTATGTAACTCATATCACAAGATTAGTTATATTAATTATATCACAAGTCTAATTACATTAACAAAAATATAAATATAAAAAGTGTTTTAAGATATGAAAATCTTTTTTATTTGATGTATTTATTATTAAGATTTTTTTTTTAAAAAAAATTCTACAATAATATTAAAGTTAATATTATTTTAAAAAAAATTTTAACTTTATTTTAATTATATATTTTTAGTAGTTTGTTACATTACCATTTATTTTTTATTTATGATTTAAATAATTATTTATATTTATAAAGTAAGGATATAAAAGTATTTAGTTTTTTAATGAAACTACATAATTAGGTATATTTGAAAATGTTCATGTAAGGAAGATACACATGAATAATGGTATCAAAAGTGAGGTAAAAGTAAAATCTCCCTATTATTTTGTTTTAGGTTAAATAAAATGTTTTATATATAAAAATATGTTTCGGATTTTAATTAGTTAAGTCATTTATACAATGTTTTTCAAAACATTTTTATATATTTATAAATGTCTTTATTAATATTTTCAATAAACTAAAATGTTTTTTATATTTTATTACAAAAGCTTTTTGTAATAAAATATTTAAATTTTTTTGTTTATTGAAAATTTTTATATAGACATTTTAAAGATATAAAATACTTTTTAAAATATTTTTTTTAAATGACATAAGTATTTAATAATTATTTATATTAATGTATGTTTATAAAAATTGGTAGAAAAGTCTTTTTCCATTTAGTGAAAAAATGTATTTGTAAATATCTCCTTTATGAAGAAAAACATGAATTGTGCTACAACAAATAGGGTAAAAATATAATTTCACCTAACAAATCATATAGAAAAATAATTGATAAACTAACAAACTATTAAAATTATAAATGAAAACAAAGATAAAAGTAACATGAATTTTTAATATTTTTGTATAATAATTTTTAAAATAAAAATATTAATAATAATAAATATGTAAAATATAGAAAGGATTTCCATATCTTGAAACATTTTTATATTTTATATTTATTATTAATGTAATTAATCTTGTTATTTAATTTATTGTTATTAGCTTTGTGATGTTAGCTATATAACAACATAAAGTTTAAAGATGTTACTATGCAAATCATATACTTTGTGTAGTTAAATGTGCATTTTTTTTTTGTATGATCAGGCATGTGATGACCGATATTTCAAATAGCTGATGATCATTTTCCTAAAAATTACAAGCGGGACCACATTTGTGAACAACTAGATCACATAACAGCAACATAATTTATGTCATGGACACAAACCTTTATCGTTTTTCATATGATATGAATATTAAGATTTTGCATATATATGTATATTCTGTGATGCACTTTTGTTTTTAAATTTACAGTATTTTTTTTATGGAGGAATTTCAGTTTTACCACAAATTTGATATCATCTTTCAAATTTAACATTTAAAAATAATTATTTTCATAAATATTTTTAATTTATGTTGATAAACGACTAACGAGTCATCCTTAAATCATTTGTACATATTTAAAATTTATTTATAAAAATTTATAAACTTAATCTATCCCCTAAATACAAAATCCTAAATAATAATCATTAAACCTTGTTTGTTCGAATATGTATTATTGCTTATAAGAGTATGCTATATGATTTTTTTTACTTAATTTAATTTTGACGGGAGGTTGTTAATTATTTGTTTGGTCGAATATGTATTATTGCTTAGAAAAGTATTTATGTATTATTAGATGTTATATAACAATATTATCCCAAATAATAAGAGAAATAAACATATTTTTAATATTGTATATGCTATTATATTTGAATATTAAGTAAATCATCTTACCCAAAAAAATGATTATAATTTCAAAATAAATGTTACTAATTAATTTTCAGAATATAAATTTTAAAAAGTTTTTTTGGAAAACTTTCTATTATAAACCAAATTTGGATGTAATTTTCATAGTTTTGTTATATTAGTTGATGACCAAAAATAGAGAAAATTGCATGAGATTCATTTTTTCGCTGATCCTTGTGTAATGAAACATGAGGACATATTACAGCATATTTTTAAAATTCTTACACATTTTATTCTTTAGTTTTATAATTGTTTCGAGCTATATCACAAGTTTAATAAATTATTTTAGTGGGTTCGTTAATGTTAAAAATTATTCAGTTGAAAAATAAATTATTGTAAAATATTTATAGAATACTAGGCATTCTATAAATATATTTGGTTTAAATACAGTAATATAAAGTATGTGAAGCATTTACAATTTTTAAAAAAAATATGAGGATGTGTTAAAATTTATAAAACACTTGATGAGGTATCATCATAAGAATAGATCAGGTTCTACTTTTCACATATAAATAACTAACAAAATAAAATAAACATTCTTGGTTAAATATTTAAATTTAAACTTTATAGTATTTATAGAATATTGGAACAGTAAACTAAATTGCATGATATCAGTTTACATGATTTATTCCTGAGGCCAAAAAACGTATATATATATTAACTCCGGTTGATACAGTGTATCACTCTTTTCTCAAAACAAAAAAAAATCATAAAGAACACAATCAAGCACTCATAAAACGTTATCTTTTGAATTGATTCAGTTACGTTATTTTTGATGTTCATCTATATAAATAGTTCATTGGGTCTTAGCTTTTCTTTCATATAGTTGTGGAGAAATATATCTCATATAAAAGTAAATGCAAACAAGTTATATAAGAAAAATGTCGTCATCCAAGCTTCACTTTGTTGTTCTTCTGATCATTGTTGCACTTCTTGCTAATAATGGACAATCGACTAGTAAGATCTCTTCCATCATCTCTTTATTTCATATAACAACAAAAACAGAAGCCATTGTTTACGTATAATAAGTTATATTGATGTGTGATTATCTTATTCACTTTATAAGCTGCAAACAAAATTATGATTCTGACACTGAGTTTATTGATTTAACAGGAGTAATGGATGATAAGTTTCCAGAATGCGAATTCAAAGGACCATGCCAGATGAAAAGCGATTGTTTGGGGACATGTGGAGGCAAACCTGAAAAAGCTTTGTGCATACCTAATCCTAGCGTAGACACCCTTCAATGTTGTTGTCTTTCAAACTAATTTTCTTTATATTATATTCTACTATTAATATAAGCAGTGTGATGTTTTATCAATAAAATAGGTTCTGAGTCGCCCTTTGAAATTAATATAAATTGCATTAGAATTGTAAAATGAGAGTTTTTGTATGACAAAAAAATTTGTTAAAAGTGACATTTTTAAGAAACAAATAGAATTAAAACAAAAATATATCCTGAGTAAATCATAAAATTTGACAATTTTTTTTTGTAAATGATAACAACAATAAAATTTCAATCATAGAGTTCCAATCATATAATAAGATAGATTTTTATTAATTAAATTTAATAAGGTTACATTTGAAATATAGATATATTTTTGTTATCTTGAAATTTTATATTAAAACAAAAACGAGAAAATAATACAGTAATCAATATATAGAAATTGAAAGTTTTTGATAAGTAACACTTCTTTTGTCTTTAAGAAGACGATCACTTTAAAAGAAAATACATTTTGTGTTTTATATATTTTTAATAGTGATAAGTTTAAAAATTAACTTTATTAGCTAAGATTTTTTTTAACTTATAGAAAATAATAATAATATAGAGAAAGTATTTACAATCAAATTTAATATCTTTTGTTAAAATGGAGAAAAATGTAAACATACATGTCTTTCAAAAATAAACAGTATTTGAATGATCATGTGGTCTTTACTATGCTCTATTTTCAAAGTTTTAGACTAATCAGTTCTTAACAAAATTACAAAAGTGTATTCGTAATGATAAATTCAGTAAACAACACCTACATTTACGTTAGTTCTATAGTAAAAATTACAAGTAGGACTACATCTGTGAACAACTAGATCACGTAACAGCAACATAATTTATGTCATGGACACAAACCTTTATCGTTTCATAGGATATGAATATTAAGATTTTGCGTATATATATATTTTCTGTGATGTGCTTTTGTTTTTAAATTTAGAGTATTATTTATTTCATGGAGGAATTTCAGTTTTACCACAAATTTGATATTATTTTTCAAATTTAACATTTATGAATAATTATTTTCATAAATACCTTAAATTTATCTTGATAAACGACTAAACTAATCATCCATAAATCATTTGTACATATTTAAAATTAATTTATAAAACTTTATAAACTCAAATTCATCCCCTAAATAATATATCCTAAATAAGAATCATTAAACCTTGATTTTATATATTTTATGGGTTATATGATTTGTTTTTACTTAATTTAATTTTTGACGGGAGGTTGTTAATAATTTGTTTGGTTGAATATGTATGATTGCTTATAAAGTATTTATGTTTTATTAGATGTTATATAACTATATTTAACCCAAATAATAAGATAAATATACATATTTTTAATATTGTATATGCTATTATATTTAAAGATTAAGTAAATCATCTTACCCAAAAATTTGATTATAATTTTCAAAATAAATATTACTAATTAATTTTCAGAATATAAATTTTTAAAAGTTTTTTTTGAACTTTTTTATTATATATCAGTTTTTGGATGTAATTTTCATAGTTTTGTTATATTAGTTGGATGACCGAAATTAGAGAAAATTGCATGAGATTAATTTTTTTGTTGATCCTTGTATAATGAAACATGAGGAAGATTAAAAAATTATTATTTTAATTATTAGAAATTTTGTTCTTTACTTTTATAATTGTTTCGAGCTATATCACGTGTTTAATAAATTATTTTAGTGGGTTCGTCAATGTTAAAAATTATTCAGTTGAAAAATAAATTATTATTTATAGAATACTAGGTATTCTATAAATATATTTGGTTTAAGTAACAGTAATATAAAATATGTGAAGCATTTACAAACTTTATAAAAAAAATTGAGGATGTGTTAAAATTTATAAAACACTTGATGAGGTATCATCATAAGAATATATCAGGTTCTACTTTGGCACATATAAATAACTAACAAAGTAAAATAAACATTCTAGGTTAAATATTTAATTTAAACTTTATAATATTTATAGAATATTGGAATAGTAAACTAAATTGCTTGATATCAGTTTACATGATTTATTTCCTGAGGAAAAATAACGTATATATACATTAACTGCGGTTGATATAGTGTATCACTCTTTTCTCAAAAAATAAAATTCATAAAGAACACAATCAAGCACTCATAAAACGTTATCTTTTGAATTGATTCTGTTTAGTTATTTTTTTATGTTCATCTATATAAATACATCATTGGGTCTTAGCTTTTCTTTCATATAGTTGTGGAGAAATATATCTCATATAAAAGTAAACGCAAACAAGTTATATAAGAAAAATGTCTTCATCCAAGCTTCACTTTGTAGTTCTTCTGATCATTGTTGCACTTCTTGCTAATAATGGACAATCGACTAGTAAGATCTCTTCCATCATCTCTTTGTTTCATATAACAACAAAAGCAGAAGCCAATGTTTACGTATAATAAGTTATATTGATGTGTGATTATCTTATTCACTTTATAAGCTACAAACAAAATTATGATTCTGATACTGAGTTTATTGATTTAACAGGAGTAACGGATGATAAGTTTCCAGAATGCGAATTCAAAGGACCCTGCCAGATGAAAAGCGATTGTTTGGGGACATGTGGAGGCAAACCTGAAAATGCTTTGTGCATACCTAATCCTAGCGTAGACAGCCTTCAATGTTGTTGTCTTTCAAACTAATTTGCTTCATATTATATTCTACTATTGATATAAGCAGTGTGATGTTTTATCAATAAGTTATTAAATAATTTTAAACGTTTCACTATGGATTTTCTTATATCGAATTAAGGATAGCTAGATATTGTTTCAATATCTTGTCCTGCATTTGTGACAAAATGAAGAACTGAAGATTTCAAAATCAAATCCTTAATTTTTGGTTTAAGGGCAAAACGTACAGTTGAGATACCGAATACCATATAACACCCCCCCCCCCCCACAAACTCTGACTACAACACTCAAAACACCAAATCTTTACCTTACTTTACTTAACATCATTATCTTTATGTCTTCTCGAGTCCGTGAGCTACTTCGGACACAAGAGTCACATACTACATAGTACATACTCTTACTGTTTTTTATAGTCTGTCCTCATTTAACTGTCGTTTTGGGAACTGACACGAATGAAGTTGATCCGGTTTAATTCTGAGATTGATCTAATAATATATGAAGTTGATCCGGTTTTTTATAGTGTTTTCTTCTTCATCTCTTTCCTGGTTTGTTTTCTCTGTGAATTTCCTAGAAAATCACCATGGATTCCTCATCCTTGCTTTTGAGTTTCTACATGTAAACTCTTGGCAGGAGAGAGAGCGATTCTTTGTGTAATACACTGGATCGAATCAATACGATTTACTATTCATCATCTTCTTCCCCGTTACGTTTTATTGTATCATTGATCGTACCCATGATGAAATAATTTTATATTATGAAAAGATAAATTCCATATATATAATTTGGGAGGATAAAATTCATTTATACAGTACGACCAAAAGAATTTGATTTATACAGTTAAAATACATTAGGTATATACAGTTAACAGGTAGATGTATACTGAATCCCGTCAACAGAAAATTTAAGTTACTGGTTTTTCTAATTTCTCATATCCAGCTCCCCATTGTTTCATCCTCTCCGAAGCTTGTTCCACCTTCAAAAATAGTAAAATTAGAGAAATAAACATTGTTATCATGTTTTTCGTTACATAACTTCTTTTAAAAAAAAAAGAAAAGTAACGATCAAAATTGAAATGATGTTATACCTCTTTGTTCCAATTGGTTTTGTATATCATGTACACAAGGATCAAAGTCTGAAGACTAGTCCCACATATCATACCAATCCAAATCCCCTGAAACCATACAAAACGATTTCATTAAACCGAGCTAATCAAACAAAGACCAATAAGTAGTGAGACAGGACTTTACCTGCACGCCAAGTCTGGTTTTATAACCTAGAAGAAACCCTAGAGGTAAACCAAAAATATAGTAACAAATCAAGTTGATATAAGCCACCGGTGCTTGCCATCCTCCTCCCACAGCAACACCTGCTCAGTCCCCAACATTCTTCATCACCATCCAAATCTTTCAACCGTTGTTTATAGAAAGAAACTGGGACATAAAAATGTTAATTACCCGATATAACCGGTTGTAAACTGTTGAGAATCATCGTTATACCGAGAAGGTAAGCAAGATCAGATACCGCCTTTCTCATCTCTTGACTATCCGTAAAAATGACTGCAAAGTCATCTCGTGTAATGAGAATTACAACTGCACACACCACTCCAATGATTAGAGACTCTATCACCGTTACGATCACCGAGTATTTGGCAGCTCTTGGATGTCCAGATCCTAGCTCATTTGACACCCTAACACTGATGAAAGAAACATCGCATAAACCTACCGTTCTTTAACTAGAAAACCAAAAAAAAAACAATGCTTTAATTTGTTTTTTCTTTACCTTACAGCAGCATTGATCCCTATGAACAACATTCCTTCCCATCCGTTAATGTTCATACTGAGACACGAAAACGTTTTAATAAAGCAGAAAAAATGTAGAATTTTAAAAGATTGTGAAAGGGGTAATTACCAGATGGAGAGAGATCCAACGGCTAAGACAGGGTCTTCAAGATGTCCTGTTAAGACAATGATAGTCATGAAATACCAAATCTCAAGACAAAGCATAACCGCAGACGCAAACGACAGTTTCAAAAACGGCCAAACGTCTTGAAACGCCAACCAAGAAAGTCCTCGCCAACCGTCTTTACACCACCCTACAACGTAAACAAGCTGCGCAATCGCGATTCCCCAAGCGGAGACAACAAAGGCAGCCGCTGCGCCGTTAAGTCCCCATTTGAAAACGTTTATAAAGAGGTGGAGGATGAAGATGTGAAGGGTCAGGGCGACGAAACCGATCCATGCAAGGATCCCGACTTTGCTCTGTGACTGGAGAAACTTCTTGGTCGGGAAATTGATGGCGAGGGCGAAGACTTGAGGGATGATATGAGCAGTGAATTTGCCAGA